CGTTGCACCAAGAAGGCGCGACCTGCGCCGCGGCCCGCGCGCGCGCCGAGCTCGATCTGTGCCAGGCCCCCGCGAGCAGTGCCCGAATGCCCGGCGTCGAGCAAAGTCGGCGGGTCGTCGGCGCCGCATCGGGCAAGGGGCCTGTGCTCAGGCGCGCCCTGCGGTGGGTTCCCGTTGCGATGCGCGACCCGAGGCATGGTCAGCTCCTCCCGCGCTCGAGGGGGCCGCCAGAGAGCCGACGGGGCCCCCCTGCGTCCACGACGTCGGGTTCGGGCCGGGGCTCCCGAGCCGTGCGTGAGCTGTGCCGAGCGTCCACCTCCTGCGGCCGCGCGGCGGATGCTCAGAGACGCTTCGCCGCGGGTGGCCGAAGTGGCTGTGGATAGGGCGACGAGATTTATACATATCCACTGCTGCAAGCCAGGCCCATCCTGGGGCCAGGAATACTGTATACGCCTCTTTGGCCAAACCAGGAGGTCGTATACACTACTCCTGGGCCCCGGATGAGCCTGGCCAGCAGCAGTGGATATGCATAGATTTCGTCGCCCTATGTGGAGCGGCGCGTCGCATTGCCGGGTAGCCCCGATGCGAACAGGAGCCCGCGTGCGCGGCCGGTACTCTCTCCAGGAGGGAAGAAAGCACACAGACAAAGTTAATCGTCGATCCCCCAGAAAATATGGGAAAATATGGGAAGTGGGGGGGGAAGACAGAAACCCAGAAACTATGGGAAAATATGGGGGATCTTTTTATTTGTGTGTGTGTGTATTTATTTGTGTGTCCTGGGGCCCCTTCAACTTTCCTGGTTTACATCTTGCATGCGGTGTTGTGCAGTGAGAGGGAAAAGGGCCGCCGCTCTGCGATCTCTCATGTTGCCCCTGCCGCCAGGGCTTCCACCTTTGCCCAGTGCCACCCACAGTTCCAGTTCCTCCTCATCCTCCTCCTCCGTCCCCCCGTCCTTTTCCTCCTCCCTGTTTTCCTCCTCCTCCTGCTCCTCCTTCTTTTCCTTCTCTTTCTCCCCTCCCTGTTCTCATCCTCCTCCTCCTTCTTTTCCTTCTCTTTCTCCCCTCCCTGTTCTCATCCTCCTCCTCCTGCTCCTCCTCCTCCTCCTCCTCCTTTTCCTTCTCCTCCTCCTTCTCCCCTTCCTCCTCCTCCTCCTCCTCCTCCTCCTCCTCCTCCTCCTCCTTCTAGCCAGAGGGGGTGCCCCGGGCAGGCCGAGGGCGCTGAGGCACCCCGCGGCCCTGCATGCTTATCCTCCCCACGCAGGGGCCCGCGGCGTTCAGGTGCCTATTGGATGCCCCCCCCCCCCCCCCCGAAGCGCCTTTCCTTTTTTACCCTCCCCCCTTGTCTTAAGTCGGGCCTGTCCCTCTACAGGGGGAACATTCAAAAATGTTTAACAATTAGTCTGGGGACTCATGTTTCGACCATTTCTCAGCATTTTCAGGGTATGTTTCGCGGTACGTTTCATTTTTCGTCCAAAATCGGCCTGTAGGGGGACAAGCCCAACTTACCCCTTGCCCACCCCCTCCTCCCGCGGCGACGACGACAGCCTCCACCGGCTCGCGGGAGGCTGGAGAGCCCGCTGGCGCGGGGCACCATCAACAGGGACCGCTCGTACCCCGTCGACATCTACGGAGCCGCCGGGGCAGGGGCGCGGCGGCGGCATCCAAAGGCCACCCTCTGGTCCAGGGTTTGGGGGCGGAGGGGGGAGAGAGTGAGGGGACGACAAGGAGAACGACGAGGAGGAGGAGGAGGAGGAGGAGGAGGAGGAGGAGGAGGAGGAGCAGGAGGAGAATGATGATGAGGAGGAGGAGAATGAGTAGGAGAAGCAGGAGGAGAATGATGATGATGAGGAGGAGGAGGATGAGGAGGAGGAGGAACTGGAGGAGGAGGAGGAGGAGGAGGAGGAGGATCAAGAGGAGGAGGAGGAGGAGGAGGAGGAGGAGGAGGAGGAGGAGGGGGGATGAGGATAAAACGGGGGATAGGGGATGATGGATGAGAGTTGAGGGGCTCGGGATGAGGGATGAGAGCGAGAGATGAAGGGATACATTGGGGGTGAGGGATGATACTGTTCCAGGGGGTGTTGTTGTTGATGATGATGATGGTGGTGGTGCTGAGGATGTTGATGATGGTGATGACGATGATGGTGCAGATGGCAAAGGCGATGGCGATGGCGATGCTGCTGCTGCTGCCAATGCTGAGGATGTTGATGAGGACGACGATGATAATGCGGATGCGGATGTCGAGGGCAATACAGACCCTGATGGGCTTAATGACTCTAATGAGGATGTAGAGGAGGATGGAGAAGATTGCGATACTGATCTGGGGGTGATGATGGTGCTGGTGATGGCTGTGTTGTTGCTGCTGATGGTGAGGGTTATTACGATGATGATGATCATGATGGTGATGATGATGATGCTGATGACGACAATGGTGACGATGCTGATGATGATGCTAATCATGGTGATGCTGCTGATGATGATGGCGACGGCGATGCTGGTGCTGATGCTTCTGTTGACGCTGATGCTACTGCTGCTGCTGGTGATGCAGCTGATGAAGTCTGATGGTGCCTAAGCTGCTGCTGTTGGTGCTGCCGCTGATGATGCTGGTCTTGCTGACAATGACGATGATGATGCTGATGATGATACTGACCACGATGATGCTGACGCAGATACTGACGCTGATGATGATGATGCTGCTGACGATGATGCAGATACCCATGAGGATGATCATGCTGATGATGCTGTGATGATGTTGTAGATGGTACTGATACTGATGACGTTGATGGTACTGATGATGATGCTGCTGCTGATGATGCTGGTGGTGATACGGATGATGATCATGATGCTGATGATGCTGATACTGCTCGTGCTGCTGCTGTTGATGATGATAATGATCATGATGATGGTGCTGTTGTTGCTGATGATTCTTGTGCCAATAACGACGATGCCGATTCCGTTAACAATGAAGATGCTGACGATGATGTGTTGACGATGGTGGTGAGGTTGATGATGTTGAGGATGCTGAATGTGATGATGATGGAGGTGGCTGCTAGTGGTGATGATGCTGATGTTGATGATGCTGATTATGCGAACGATAGTGATGAGGGTACTGGTGCTCTTGCTGCTGATGCTGATGATGCTGATGATGCTGGTGATTATGAGGATGATGATGCTGATATTGATCGTAGTGGTGAGTATGGTGGTAGTTGTGATGATGATGATGCTGATGCTGATGATGAGGATGATGATGATGATGATTAGTATGATGAAGGTGAAGATGAACATGCATATGCTATGGATGATGATGCTGCTGCTGCTGATGATGATGATGATGATGATGGTGGTGGTGGTGGTGATGGTGGTGGTGGTGGTGGCGGGGAAGTGGTGGTGGTGATGATGCTGCTGATGATGTTGCTGTGGCTGATGATGACGATGAGGAGGAGGAGGAGGAAGAGGACACGAATGATGAAGAGGAGGGTGAGGAGGAGTAAGGAGGAGTGGGACGCAGTTGGCAGTTGGCAAGAGGAGGGCGGTGTGCAGTGGAGAGATGGGAAAGTTGTTTTGAGTGTCTGTGTGTGTGTACGTGAGGGGAAGAGG